CCATCGAGTTAGTGATGCCATCCAACCATCTCATCCTCTGTCGCATCCAAGTTATCTCCATAAAATAAAAGCATAATGTGACTTCAATATATCCCAAGCACACCAATCTGAGACTGATACTTCCTTTTGTTTAAGAAGGAAAGGTGTACACACTACACTTATCCATATTCTTTTATATTTGATAGACCCGTAAAGGAATTAATAACATTTGATATTGTCTTCCCTGATAGTTCATTTGGTAAAGAATCCTCCTGCAATGCAGGAGACCCCAGTTCGATTCCTGGGTCAGGAAGATCTGCTGGAGAAGGGATAAGCTTCCCACTCCAGGATTCTTGGACTTCCCCGGTGGCTCAGCTGGTAAAGAATCGCCTGCAATGCGGGAGACCTGGGTTTGATCCCTGGGTTGGGAAAATCCCCTGGAGAAGGGAAAAGCTACCCACTCCAGTATTCTGGCCTGGAGAATTCCATGGACTGTTAGTCTATGGGGTTGCAAAGAGTCGGACATGACTGAGTGACTTAAAATTTTGGGGCTTCCCTTGTGGCTCAGCTGGTAAAGAATTCACCTGCAATGTGGGAGACCTGGGTTCGATCCCTGAGTTGGGAAGATCCCCTGGAGAAGGGAAAGGCTACTCACTCCAGTATTCTGGCCTGGAGAATTCCATGGACTAGTCCATGGGGTCACAAAGAGTTGGACGCGACTGACTTTCAGTTTCACTTTCAGTTACCTTGGAGGGGGCTTCCCAGGTGGTGCTAGTGGTAAGAAGCTTATCTGCTAGTGCAGAAGATGTAAGAGATGCTGGTTCAATTCCTGGGTTGGGAAGATCCTCTGGAAGAGGAAATGGCAGTCCACTCCAGTACTCTTGCCTGGAGAATTCCATGGACAGAGGAGCCTGGCAGGGTCCATAGGGTCCCATAGACACAGGGTCAGACACAACTGAAGTGACTTAGCATGCATGCACGTAGGTACCTTGAAGAGGTCAACTCTAGTGGTTTGAGGTGAACTTTCCATTAAGATTTTATCTATTTGGAAGAAGCTATTTTTCCAAGAATTGTTATTTTACATGGGGCTTCCCTCACAGCTCAGTTGGTAAAGAATCCACCTGCAATGCAGGAGACCCTGGTTCAATTTCTGGGTTGGGAAGATCTGCTGGAGAAAGGATAGGCTATCCACTCCCGTATTCTTGGGCTTCCCTTGTGACTCAACTGGTAAAGAATCTCCACCTGCAATGTGGGAGACCTGAGTTCAGTCCCTGGATTGGGAAGATCCCCTGGAGAAGGGAAAGGCTACCTACTCCAGTATTCTGGCCTGTAAAATTCCATGGACTGTATAGTCTGTGGAATCACAAAGACTCAGACATGACTGAGTGACTTTCACTTCACAGAAAAGCTCCTCTTCCTCTTAAGTTTCTGCAAGTTGGCTTGTTCAAGGAAAGGTTATCCTGTGTCTGGCTCTAAAATTGCATTACTGACCAGGATTAATCCTCTTTCACACACCTTTCCTGTGTTGTCTTACCATTTCAAATCCCAGCTTAGATGTCCTTGTTGTTATTGTTATCGTGTCATGCTATGTTACAAACATGTACTGACATAAATCCACTTGAGAATAAGGTCCATGTGTTACTCTTTTCTGTAACTGGTCTACTTACCATAAGGCCCTCAGTATATAGTAGGCAATTAATAAATGTTTGAATTGAGGTTGAAGCATAGGTGGGGTCTCGTAACAGGCTACTAAAATAGTTCAGCTCTTGGAGAAACTGTGTTCTTATTGCCATCATCTTTGAAAAACTGAGCTTTCTTAGGAAAGTTTAGTATCCTTTCCCTACCTCAGTTTGTATTTGCGTTAGCAGTTGTGATCTGGAAAGTGGAAATTGCAGACAGTCTGGATTGCCTCCCTAGGGAGTCCTCCCAGGTACTTCAGAGAACAGAGTCGTGCCGCATCCTGCTGCTGACACGGAAGCAGCAGCACGGGGGAGCAGGTGCTCTCAGCCCTTATCCTTGGCCTTGCTCAACTTCCTGGTTTGTTGAGGTGATGAACTGACTTTGGAGAGAAGATTAATGGCCTTGGGGCAGCTCTTGAGGCTTACTCCTGTTAAACTACTTTCATTCTTTAATTTCATGTATAATTACAGTATCCTTGAAGTGATGGGGTGGAAATATTGGAATAAGGTTGCCATTAGTGACTGGGTTTCTCTAAGTTCTTAGTTTCTTCCATCCCTCATTTTTTGTATTGTTTAAAATACATAACATGGATTCATGTTTATTGAAAACAGTGCAAAACATCTAGAGACCAAAATTAAAGTTCTCTGACAGTCCCTGAATGCATATATGTATTCATAGGTACACACAAATACAGCTTTAAAAAAAAAAAAGAACATAAGGATTATACTCTTAGTATGGTATTCTGTGAATATGTCAGGTCATTAGGTAATGTGTTGTGTCAAGATGATAAGAGATCGTTTATAACCATGAATGATCTCTTGGTCATCCTTATCCTCATTTGATCAGTTGCTGTGATGATAGCTAATAACACTGCTCCTTTGTAAAATTGAATAGGACATGTATTGGGCATATATAGGTGCCTTATTTGTATTTTCTTGTCTTTTTAGCAAGATCAACCATGGTATTTTTAAAGATTATTTTATTTGTTTATATTTGACTCTGCTGGGTCTTTGTTGCTGTGCAGGCTTTTCTCAAGTTTCGGTGAGCAGGGGCTACTCTCTCCAGTTGAGGTGCTCGGGCTTCTCATCACAGTGGCCTTCTCTTGTTAAGCAGCACAGGCTCTAGGGCATATGGGCTCAGTAGCTGCAGCTTCCGTGCTCCAGAGCACAGGCTCAGTAGTTGTGGCACACAGGCTTGGTTGCTCCACAGCATGTGGGATCTTCCTGGATCAGAGACTGACTCTATCTTCTGCATTGGCAGGCGGATTCTTCACCACTGAGCACCAAGGAAGCCAACTATTATACTTTTATAAGTGATTTAAGCATGTTGTTTCTAATACCTACAAACAATCCTGCATGATTTGTTATTGTTAATATCACATGTAGATGGGGAAACTGAGGCTTAAGGAGGTTTAACCTAATTTACTCAAAGTCATACAACTAAGAATTCCTGTTCAGAGAAATAGACTCAAGTCAATCTAGCTTTAAAAGCCATACCTAACTGCCCTGCTGAACTGCTTCTCTGGTGATGCATTTGGCCTACCTCAGTTCCTTGGTGGCTCAGTGTTAAAGAATCTGCCTGTCAGTGCAGGAGACGTGGGTTCGATTCCTGGGTTGGGAAGATCCCTGGAGAAGGAAATGGCAACCCGCTCCAGTATTCTTGCCTGGGAAATCCTATGGACAGAGTAGCCTGGTGGGTTGGAGTCCATGGGTTTGCAAAGAGTCAGACAGGACTTAGCAACCAAACAACAACAAAGATCTTAGAACAGTTGTTTCTCAAACCATCTTCAGTGAAGGACTAGTGTTGTCATTTTCCCCAGTCTATATCTGATCAGTATTTTTGTAAAATACAATATAAATAAGTTACTAGATAAAAAGGCACACAAAATACAAACCCAAATATATCCTTATGTTCGAAATTACTTGGTCAAATTGCTATAAACATTACTAAATTCTTGCTTTCAGTTTCTGTACTTCCTGACAGTCTGGTAAAATCACTGGACTACAGACACTCTGCAGGCACTGTCCTGGAGGCTTTTGAGTTGGATCATAGAAAGATTCATAAGGACCAACCTTTTTTTTTTTTTTTTTTGTAAAAAAATTTTATTGTGAAAGACTCTAAATATACACAGAAGTAGAGAGGAGAGCATAAAGAATTTCATGTACTCATCACCCAGCTTCAGCAGTTACCAACTCACAGTCAGGCTTGTTTCCTCTTCTTTCACATCCTTTGCCCCTGCCAGGCTCTTGTCTTGACACAAATCCCAAATAGTATGTATCTCTAAAAGATAGGGACTCTTTAAAAACATAACTTCCATAATATCATCATATCCCCCCAAATTAACAGTAATTCCTTAATATTTTCAGATCTACTGTCAGTGTTCCGATTTCCCAAATTTTTTGTAAACATCTCTTTATGGTTGATTCTTTCAAATAATAATTAGCTTTTCCTTCATTCTGTTAATGCAACAATTACAGTTGTTGATTTTTGTATCTTGAACCACCCTTGTGTTTGTGGGATAGATCCCTGGAATTAGTCATGGTGTATAATCCTTTTAATATGCTGCTGAATTCATGTTGATAATATTTTACTAAGGATTTTTGCCTCTATATTCATAACATGTATTGGACTATAGTTTTCTTGTAGTGTTTTGTCTGGCTTTGGTATCGAGTTTTCTGGGAAGTTTGAGAAGGGTTGGTGTCAATTCTGAAGAACTGGTTTTTAGATGGAGCTTCAGTGCTCACTTTCTATGTGTCCTTGACCAAGTTGGTTCACTTTTTTGTCTTTGTTCCTTTATCTGTGAAAGGATATCTGATTGAGTTAGCTGTTCTTTAATGCACTTCTGTCAGTTTATTGCCCTGAACCAGGGTCTAATTTTATAGAAAGATGTTTGCTTTCAACATAACAACTTGTTCAGTTTGAGAATGAATTTTGGGGATTCCCTGGCTGTCCAGTGGTTAGGACTCTGAGCTTTCTCTGCTGAGGGCCCAGGTTCAATCACTGATTGGGGAACTCGGATCCCATAAGCCACACAGTATGGCAGAGAAACCCCAAAACAGACAACAAAAAAGATGAATTTCTTCTTGAAATTAATAGAATCACAGACTTGAAAGTTGAAAGGGGCTCTAAGTTTATTTGATTTAGTCATTTGCCTTTGCAGAAGCAAGTTCTTATCTCTACACCATAGGTAAAATAGCTAAAGTCCATTGAGTTTAAGTGATTTTTCTCAAGGTGTATAGCTAGCACTTAAGTCTGTTTGCCACAGAACCAGTAGTGCACATATGGTCTTTTATGAAATTAGCTTAAGTGGATAATGATCTTCTCTTTTGCCTTCCCTTTAGGTTCTTTGCCCTGACATCCCTTCGTCTTGTGTTTTTACTTGCATTCAGCTCAATGATCATTGTGTGTATAGATCAATGGAAGAACAAAATCTGGCCTGAAATAAAAGGTGAGTTTGGTAGGATTTAGAACATTCTGAACTGGAAATGGTCTGTCATTTTTACCTGTAGTTTTAGGAGTTTCTGGAGGAGTATGTGAAGCTGGGAATAGCTTTTGAAGTCTGAATTATTTGCTTTAGGAGACACTTGAAGGGCTAGCGCCCCACCCGCAGTTCCTTAGAGCTGAGTTCTGTCCTTCCCATCGTTCGTTGTAAAGCTCAGGAAATCTGTATCCACCACCTGAGATATCCTTTCCTCCATAATTGGCATGAGGAATAGTCCTCAAATTGTTAAATAATTTTCCTCATTGGATACTGCATCATTACCAAGGCAGTATCAATTTGCCTCTCAGGAATTTCTGACTAATAGGAGGTTAGGGGAGTAAGGAATAACAGTAGCTTTGGGATTTCAGAGCAAGGAGAGGAGTAAGAGTGGCATTACAGTTAGCAGAGGTGGGCAGCGGTAGGCTGGGCAGTTGGTTTGGGTGGAGACTGAGAGTGAGGAAAATTGATGTAGGTTGGACATGTTATTTTTGAAGTGCTGGCAGAATATTCAAACCAGAGTGTACAGTTTTTAAATACATTCCCATTCTATTTTGCAGAGACTTCAAGGAATCATGTAGTTCACCCACCTGTCCTATGGCTAGTGAATGTCAGAAGACTTCATCATTGATTGTAGTTAATGGGTCTCTTTTTAAAGAGCAGAGCAGATCTCCAGAGTTAAAGTAGTCATAGCATGCCCTGGCACGCACTGATGCATAAGAGCAGCCCAGACACACTTGGGGGGGGGGGGGTGAACTTTTTTGTGTGTACCCTGGCTCTCAGCTGTGGTAATTAGAAGGGGCCCTAATGCTCCACTTGAATTCCCACTCCATCCTACCAGAGAAATGAGCAGGCACTAGCTATCATTTCCTTGTCTGTAGCTCCCTAACTGGCAGTATAACATGGTATCTCCTTTTCATTGGCTATTACTGTTTTCCTTTTCCCCAAACCTATTAAAACTTGAGCTGTCAGACCAACAGCCTAACATTTTCATGTTTTGTTTTCCCTACCAACTAATGCTGGTGTTTGTTTTAATATTGTAGTGCCAAGACCCGACGCGTTAGACAATGAGAGGTATGGAATGCTAATTAAATCCCTTTTTGTTGCTCTGATTGATTCTCTTGTTGTAATATTCTGGTTATAGGTTGTTAACTCCATGTTCTGGATACAAATTAGAAGCTGAGAACCTAGTCTGTTGCAAATAATCATTTTAACAAATCCTAAAGTTCAGGCAGCAGTAGGTTGAGACGCTGAGTGTCCTGTGATACTTATAAGAGACATTTCTAAGAAAGCAGCATTAGAGTGCTGACATACCAAGGAATTATTCATATTCAGCCTGTGTAAAAACTTAGAGGCAACTTACCTCATTTGTCTCCGGGCTTTTATAAAAACGAGGTCATTTAGTGTTTCCTGTGACCTTCGGCCGTTTAAAGTTCCTGGTCAGAAAATACATTCGTTTCTAGCATCAGCAAGCCAAAGATTCCTCTTGTGGCTTACTGCTCCTGCTTTCATTTTTGAGTTCATTCATGTCATGTGTTGGATTGTCTTTGCTGGGTTTATTTTGGTTTTGCTTTGTTTGTTTTCTCTCTAAGGGGCACATCCATTGCCTCCACCCCACTCGCCGCAATGCCATCAGACTGTGCTGTGCGTTTTCTCCTGGATTGCAATCACAGTGGATTGCAATGGTCTGAGCACAGGAAAGATGCTTTTAAGCACAAAGGGCCTAGGAGCTGGTGGCAGGTTTACACATGTGGATTGGGCCGCTGGCTCATAGGGTGGAGTTGTCAGAACAAGTTTGCTCTCCTAGTCTTTAAATTCAAGTTTCAACCTGGAGCGCCAAGAAGAAAGTCATGCTTCACCTCTAGAGCACCTCGGGCTAGCCACTCCCCCACCCCTATTTAAACCCGGAACCATCGGCTGCCTTCAAAGTGAGATGGGGGTAGCCCTCAGCACCCTCCTTTCACAGCTCCCCCTTCTCTTTCCCATAGCTGGGGCTTTGTGCACCCTCGGTTGCTCAGCGTGCCCGAGCTCTGCCACCACGTAGCTGAAGTCTGGGTTAGTGGGACCATTTTCATAAGGAATCTTTTGCTTTTCAAAAAGCAAAACCCAGGCAAGGTAAGACTCTTCCCTTTTTCACTCTCATTTCTGGCTTCTCAGTTCAGTTCATGCTAAACTGAAATAGCCCTTTTACTACACATCCTCATTCAAGAAAGAAAAGACCATGGTGCTGGTAGAGACAAGGGAAGTCATAGGAAGGGGCTTCTGACCAGCCACTAGGACTAGGGCAAGAACTCGATGACTCCTTCAGGTGCTTGCCACTTAGAATAGGCCGTCTTCCTGCCCCAAGATGGGAAGGAAAGCTTGCTTGTGTGCATTCTGTGTCATATTAAACATGTGGTAGGTGGTTGAGGTTTTTATTTTACTTTGTCTTAAAAAAGCCCACCACCAGCACTTGTTTTCAGAGAGAATTTTTGGCTCAGTCCTATTCAAACCAATTTCCCAGCATGAAAGGTGCAGCCCTGTGGGGTTAGCGATGTGAGAGGAGTTTGAATAGGAGTGGCCATGGTCCCTTTTCTCCCCAGCAGAATCACCATCAGATGCAGCAGTGGCTAGCTAGGTACATGTCATTCTGACATGTCCATGCTTTATACAGAGGTCATAAAAAATCATTTCAGTCACATCTCCATCTTACCTGCCTCCCATCCCCACCCCATCCCCTGCCATATAGCAGAAACTTAATATTGTTTCCTGACACCCCTAGTTCTGCTTGCTGAGCTGTGGGATACTGACCTTTTTGGCTGTCTTGGGCCGCTACATCCCTGGGCTCCTGCTCTCCTACTTAATTCGTAAGTATGGTATATACCTCCCCCACAAGCTTAACCTACTCATAGCTTTTCTAGCCATAGCTAACTTTGTCTGGAGAGAGGACTCTTATATTTTGGTTTTCCAGGAAATGACCTTTGTATGTTTTCATGTCCTGTTTAGAGTCATGAAAATACCTTTCTTCTTACCTGTGTCAAGCTCCCCACATATAAAGTCCTTTTCTTACCAAGTTTTAGAAACTGACAAGGGTCCACAAGAAAGGACTGTCTGTTCCTATTTCAGGAGGGAATTTTTAGAGTCAGTGTATTGTGTAACAGTAGAACATAACTCTTAGGATTCTGTTCTAGGTTCTGTTTACCCTGTAGGTTACTAGGTTCTGTTTACCCTGGAGTACTTCTCCCCCACCCCACCCCACCCCCAGAGCAGTTCTGTAAATTTAGTTACTTCATATTGGCATGAACTCTGTCTACTTGGGGCTGGAAGAACTGAGCAATGATGACCCTGGTGATTGTATAGCAGAACCTCGAATGATTTGTTGAATAGTTGCCGAGGCACTGTTAGCATTTGGTCTTGTTTATGACTCAGCGACACCCATATGCAGGTGACAGCACTGGTTCTGCCCCTGATGTGTCAGCAGCACAGTCCACTGCACACAACCCTGTCAGAGCTACAGAGTCTCTGACCCCAAAAGTCTTCACCTCGTGAAGATGACCTGCAGAATTAAACAGGACCGTTCCACACTAAGTGCCCCAGCCCTAAGGACACACGGCAGAGGGACAGTCAGGACTGTGCATGCGGCCCTTTGTCCATCTCACCACTCTTTCTCACTCCTCAGTTGTCACTGTCATGATGTGGCCCCTCGCTATGTACCACCGACTGTGGGACCGAGTGTACGTATGGCTGAAGCCCGCACTGCAGCGGCTAGACTTCAGTGTTCGTGGCTACATGATGTCCAGGCAGAGAGAGAGGCAATGTAAGTGTCCAGGGGAGCCTTCCGTCCATTTGCGCAGTTTGGGGAGGAGAAGAAGCCCATTGGTTTGGCATCGTAGGCCCTTGAACATGGAGAAATGGCATGTGGTTGGTGTGTAGGGGGGTGGTAGGTAAAAGTGATGATCTACTCTAGGGAAATCTCTGCAGGCTTACCAGTTTTTCCCTTTGGAATTCTAGACACTCCTATTTTAAACAAATATGAGAAAAGTTCTCCCAAGTCATATAAAAGACAGTGAAGATATTCCCAGTGTTAGCTGCTTTTTAATGAAGCCTGTCCCGTGTGCCCAAGCACTGAGCTGACTGCTCTGCATACGTTGTCTGTACAACACCCTTAAGAAGAGGGTGGTATTTTCCTTTTCTGGTTGAAGCAACTGAAGCTTGTGGTTAGTAAATGGCAGAGTAGGTCTTTTAAACTCCTCAGCTGGGCCTCTGTTCACTCCTGAAAGCTGCCTTCCAAAAGTGATTGAAAACTTGCTTCAGAAGCCAGACATGCTAGCCTGAGATCCTCCAACCCACAAACGACAGTCTAGCGAACTTTTCCCTCTCTTCTGTGATGTGGTCAGGTTGGGTCTTCATTAATCCCTGGCCTTCTAAGAGCCCTGCACATGGGTGCCAAGGCCCAGCTCCCCCTGACTCAGTCAGTTGAACTTCTCAAAAGCCTGATTCAGCCCAAGTGGGGTGTCTCCCTTTGCCTTCTATGTGATAGTGTCCACTTTTCACACTGATATCTGATCTGTTCTTAGGTGATCTTGAGGCTTGTTGACAAGTCTGGTAGTTGATCTGACCTGAACAAAAAGGGTTTCTTTCCTGTGTTATCATGTTATCAGCTTACCTTGCCACTTAGGCTCTGCAGCTCCTTCAGACATCCTTATGTAGGTTTAAGGGGTTCATTCTCTAGTATTCTGACTTGAATGCCTTTGAAATTCGAAGGGGGCGGGAGTTTGCCCTCAAGGGAAGGTGTTCACGGCTTCTGCTCTTCCCACACAGTGCGGCGCAGAGCTCTCCACCCAGAGCATGCTGTGGACAACCACAGTGACAGCGAGGAGGAGCTTGCTGCCTTCTGTCCTCAGGTATCTGGGGTGTGGGAGCTGCCTCACTGGCCAGTTTTTTTAGCTCTGTTTTTACCATCTGGTACTCCTGTTTAGACAGTAAACAGGTTTCCAAGCTCACTGTGGGCTCTCCAGGGACCCAGCTTTTTGCCTTTCTCCAAGGACCTCCCTGCCCCCAAGAGCAGTGAGGAGAGAAGCTAGTATTATATTGGGACTTTGTATGTAGACCTCAGTTTGAGTCTGGTGACCAGCACACCCTCTTCCATGTCTCCTTTTAACCCGTCATCAGGGCAGAACTTCTGCAACTGGCCTGATCACTCTTTAAACAGCACAGCTTGCCTTAGGTCAAGCACTAACCTGTGCACATCCTCCCAGCCATCTGTGAAAAGTATTCTCTGGGTCAGTTATTTGCATCAGAGTCTAAGTGGCTGGTTGACTGTCAACACTGCTTTCCTTCCTGGGCTCAAGATTGATGAAAAAGAGTGTCTTCCCTGGGGGAGCAGCCTGCAACGGGTCAGGATTCTGACTAAGTCGCCATCCATGCCTGGTTACACTGTTAGCCTTAGGCCTTTGGGGCCAGCTCACTGGTGAAGCTGTAAGTGGCAAACTGCATCTGTTTCTAATGGCACCATTTCTTCATGCTTGTTGGTCTTGTCCTTTCCTCAGCTGGATGATTCCACTGTTGCCAGGGAACTCGCCATCACAGACTCCGAGCACTCAGATGCTGAGGTCTCCTGTACAGACAACGGTACATTCAACCTTTCACGGGGCCAGACACCTCTAACAGAAGGCTCTGAAGGTGAGAGGAACCTTGGACCCGAGTTGATACTGGCTCCGACTGTTGCCGCTCAGCTTTGCAGGCAGCAGGGACACTACCCCTGCCTCTGTTTTCCGAGCTGTGGATTAGGTGGCGGAGCAGCTTTAGGGGCATGGCTCCAGCCAGATGGCACTGCTGCTGCCCTGGAAGTCCTCAGTCCATTAGTGGCCTCAGGATCGAAGCTCATGGGGGAGAAAGGGGAAGTTCTTTGGCCAGTAAAGGTAACAGAGTCTGTAAGTGGAGGGGGAAGGCTGACCAGTGCCAGAAACCCAGGGTGGAAACATCTGGTTATTTGGGGCTGACGTGGTGGGGCTGGGAAACAGGAAGGCCATGCCACAGTTGCCATGTCTCAGACACTCCTGTTCTTGCAGACCTAGATGGTCACAGTGATCCAGAGGAATCCTTTGCCAGAGACCTTCCAGACTTCCCTTCCATTAACGTGGATCCTGCTGGCCTGGATGATGAGGACGATACCAGCATCGGGATGCCCAGCTTGATGTACCGGTCCCCACCAGGGGCCGAGGAGTCTCAGGACCCCCCTGCCAGCCGGGAAGAGGCCGCACTGCCGGAGCTTTTGCTTGGTGCCCTGCCTGCAGGATCCAACCTCACCAGCAACCTTGCTAGCCTGGTTTCGCAGGGCATGATCCAGCTGGCCCTGGCAGGGGCCTCCCAGCCAGGCCCGTCTGGCCCACCTCCCCGGAGAGCCGCCAGAGGTGTCCTCAGGGCACCCAGTTCAGACCTGGACACTGATGCTGAGGGGGATGACTTTGAACTTCTGGACCAGTCAGAGCTGAATCAGCTGGACCCTGCCAGTTCCAGGAGCCACTGAGGAGAGACTTCCTTTGGGGGGTCACTGTGGTTTAAGTTTTTTTCTCCCCATTCCACTTAAGGTGAAGGGGCAAGGGAAGAACCCAGGTCCCACCTTCTGAATTATATATGTATGCACGGTGGCCTGGTTGATGCTCAGAGGCCTACTGAGAGAGGATACTCACTCCCTTGTTATCAGCTGGATGCTGGTATCTGAGCTCAAGTCACCGAAGTGAGAGTGTGCTCCCTTGAGGGACACTTCTCTCCATCAGGATGGTGGTACTTTCGGGGAACAAAGTAGTCAGGGGTATTGGTTCCCTTTTGAGGGGATGCTGCTGTGTGCTTCTAGGTCTGGATGCTCAGAGGCCCTCAGTGAACAGATCCCTTCCCTTCCTTCCCCTGTTTATCATCTCCCTAGAGCTCCAAGTCAGGCAGCTGGAAGAGGTTAACTGTCCTCTTGCTAAGCCATGGTTGATTTGCCTTTTTCTAAGCAAACTTGTCCTTTGGTTCTGCAGAGCAGGCCGGCTCCCCTTGCCTCAGCCCATCCTCATTTCTTGAGGCCTACCCCCTAGTGCTTCAGAATCTTGCTTGTGAAGTTTTAGAATGTGAACATGAGGTGTGGGTGGGCTTCTTCCACATTACTTTGGGCTGTGGGGTAGCGGGGTGGGAGGGTGAACGCCTCTGTAGCTCCCCGACTCACTCATTGTTTTGGAGCTGGTTATTTTTGGTGCTGCTAACCCCTGGCTCCATTTGCCCATCAGCCTGAGCAACGAGCAAAGCAATACCATACCATTCCATACCCATTTCCGTGTTCCCGTTCCTTCCCCTGCTCCTCCTCTGGAGAAGCAATAATCCCACACAGGCAATGCCAGAGTAGCACTTTACAGACGGCTCAGTGGCATTCATCCCAGGAGCCACCAGCTCTTCACCCCTGTTCAGCTCCTTTAATAATTTTGTTTTCAACTGCTTCCCAGTTTGGCAGGGCCTCTTTTAAGATGAGCCCAGTTAGCAAGAATTTGTCTGTAATCAGCAGAGACCCCTGTATGGGGTATCTATATGCTACTGCCCCTAGTAAAAATCATGTGAGACAAAAACAAAATGATCATTAGTTCTAAACCCATGCCTCCCCAATCAGAGCTCAAGCTGAATTCTCCTAATCATCTTTCCCTCCACATAAATTAACCCTTTGCTGATCCTCAGGGACCACTCCCCCCAACACCCTGCACCTGGGTGATGGATGTTGGACAGAGCCCGTTTTCACGTGCTGCAGGTGGGAGTGCACTAATGTGTTTGCTTTTGGTTGATGGAGAAGGTAGAGACCAAGGAGTGAAAATAGTCAACGGTGAGAGGAGAGAAGAGCTTGGTGTCTGATTCAGTCACTTCCCTTTGTGTGAAGTTTAGAGAACCAGCCTCTCCCCCACTTTTAGGGTTCTCAGACAGACTTTGGACACCTCTCTTCTCAGAGCCCAGATGTCTTACAGGTGAGCTCTGATGTGGAAGAAAACAGGAGGTGTGGGAAAGGAGTGGGATTTTGTGTGTTTGCATGAGTGTGTAGCTTCAAGCCTTGGGAGTTGGCAGGAGGGAGAAAAGGAAGGAGAGCAAAATCTTTGGAAGGTGTTTTTTGTACCTGCAGATCCTGCTCTGAATCTCCTTAGTCCTCCACTGTGAATCCGGATGGGGATGAGGGTGGGAGGGGTGCTGGGGAATAAATCTTGTATGAGAACAACCTTTAAGAGACTTAACGTTGAATGGTGTCTTAGCCTTGAAAGGTCTTGCTAATCTGAGATGTTATTAGAGGAGGTGACAGCCTCAAAGAAAGCCCAATGTGTGAGGGACCCACTTGACCATCCTTGGTTTTTTGTTTTGTGACGGCCAGAAAAATCACCATGATAGGAGGCTGCCCCCCATCTCCAGGAGAGCCCAGATAGGAGCATAACCGGCACTCCCGGCAGGCATCTAGCCTGCAGTTCCATCATTCTAATTCTTAATATTGTCCGCTCTACGTGTGAAGAGGAGTACAGGTTTCAAAGGCTAATGAGGTTTGAGGTAATAGAGGCTTTTAAAAGGAACACCATGCCCCACTGGATTGTTTGAGCTGCAGGAACAGCTGCTCTTTGGCCTTCAGCTGACCTCAGAAACTAGAAATAACTTATTTTAAGGCTTTGTCCCACTGGCCACTGTGGGCAGGAATGGAAAGCACCTGTCAGGTGTTGCCTTAAGATTGTCTCTGCCAAAAGGAAGCTTATACAAGCTTTGTGGCTTACGATCAGCCCCCTCCCAACCGTACCTTCAACCACAGCATGTGCTGAGCGCCCCCTGCGTGAGGAGCTGGGTAACGGGCAAACGCAGCGTTATTCCTTGCTGGGCGTCTACGCGTCGTTCTGTCTTCACAACCCCCACCCCCCGCAAGCACCTCTTGTTCCCGTTTTACAAAAGATAAAAACCGAGAGAAAGGCTTGGGCCGTGGGACGGGACACGCCTTTGGGTAACTGACCCTGTGACCTTGAGCAAGTCACTTGCCCAGCGGGAGCTGATGCCGAGATTCCTTTCCATTCAAATATTCAGCCCAGCTCAAGGTCACGAGTGCTCAGCAGCCGCTGGAACTGGGTCCCGAGACTACAAGGCGTGATTCCCTACAGCCCTGGTTCCGAGAGGAGGAAGGGAGAGGTTCGAAGCGTACACTCCACCTCTCCGGCAGAGAGCCTGCCCGCAGGGGCTGGAGCCCGGCTCCCTAGAGCGGGCCGAACTGAACTACGGTGCCCGGGAAGGGCCGCTCCGCTCCGCTCCTCGCGAAAGCCGCCCCCCTGCCAATCACACTTGAGGCCCGCCCTGCCCTTTGCCGGAAGGAGCCGTTACCCCGAGCAACTACAACGTCCGGTTTTCGGAGTTTGGCGGCGGGAAAAGCCATGAGTAAAGGCCGGTCAGAAGCTGCCCCGGGAGGTAACAGCCGTGGGCGCTGGGAGACCGGGAGGAGGGTGGGTAGGGGCCGGTTGAAGGACCCCCTTCCTGCCTTGTCTCTGTAGCCTCCGGGATCCTGCTGAAGTACCTACAGGAGCAGAACCGGCCCTACAGTGCCCAGGACGTGTTCGGGAACCTGCAGCGGGAACATGGGCTGGGCAAGACGGTGAGAACCCTCTCTTGGAACTCTGGGACCTCCCCCGGGACCTCAGGGGTCCTGCACTCTCCAGGCCGCCATTTTAGCCCAGGGCTTCCTAAGGCTTGTTGGGCGCTTCCCCCCATCATTGGTGACATCCTTCCGGCTTCCAAAGTCCCTCTCCTGACAACTCCGCCCTCTCGCCTCTGTCAGGCGGTGGTGAAGGCGCTGGAGCAGCTGGCCCAACAAGGCAAAATCAAAGAGAAGATGTATGGCAAGCAGAAGATATACTTTGCGGATCAGGTGAGGGAAACAGATTAACACCTATATGAGAGCCCGGCATTAGGTCAGTCAGCCCCTAGTATGAACTCTGGGAGAATTGAAGCATCCGGTGAAATTCACCCGTCTTAGGCCATTTAAAGGGCCCCAGCCAACCTTTAGGACAAAGCGTGGACTCCTTTTGCTGTCATCCAAACTTCACTAGATTTCCAGACTTGAAATATGATCGATGACAAAAAATCCTGAATTGTTGCTATCGAGGTCCATTTATGTGTGGAAGTTCTTATTTCCAGTCATCTAGATGAGAACCAGTCTGCCCAGTTGTTTTCCTTCTCTTTGCAGCCCAGACCCCGTTTCAGGCGCATCAGAATCAATATTGCCAAAGTAGAATGCTTCATCTCTCCCCTAAACCAACTCCTCCTGTGTTCTTCCCCCTAAGGGAATCATTCTTCACCCAGGCCAGAGAGTAGGGAGTCATTCTTTTTGGTTTTGGTTGGCCTCACCACACAGCTTGTGGGATCTTCGTTTCCCAACGAGGAATTGAACCCAGGTCCTCAGCTGTGAAAGCACTTGAGTCCTGACCACTGGACCATCAGGGAGTTCCCTGGGAAATCCTTATTTTACATGCTTAGGCAGCCGTCAAGCCCAGGTGTTTCCCCTTTCTTGACTCCACCCTCTCCTCTCCAGCTGCCACTGCTGCTCTGGTTCAGGTGTTCCTTGTCTGTTGCAGGATCCTCCTGATTGCCTGGGCTCCTTACACATATCTTAAACATTGCAGCCAGAATAATCTATGTACATGCAACTCTAGTCATGCCACTTCCCTACCAAAAATTCCAGTGCTCCTTAGAACAGATAAAAGGTGCTCAGAGACTTGGCTCCAGCCTCTCCTGTCCTGGTTATTTTTCCATCCATCAGTGCTAGCCCATTTAGATGTACTTAACTCCTGTGGCCTTTGCTTGTTGTCCTTCCTCTGCCCTGGTTCTTGAGTCCCTTCTTCCTCTGCCCAGCTGTTACTCATCCGTTAGGATTTCACTCAGGCATCACCTCTGGAAACGTTCCTGACTGCTCTGAACTAACTGCCTTCCTCAGGCACTTACCTCTTTGAGGCATCCTCTAGTTTAATTGTCTTTCACTTGCCTCCATTACAATACTGAAGTTCTTCTAAAGCAGACCCCATTTTTCATCCATCTTCCTTTATTCAGTACCCCTACAAGATTTTAACATCCACTGTCAAGGCTAATTTTCCTAAAGTAGGTTTCATTATATTACTGCTGTACTGAAGATTCCATAAAGAAGTTGGGAGATTTTTTTCCTGTAAAAGGTCAGTTAGTATTTTTATGCTTTGCAGACCTGGTGGTCTTTTGTTGCAGCTATACAGCTGTACAGTGGCATTCAAGTCTGCCATTGTGGGGCAAAACCAGCCATCGACAGTATGTAGATAAATGGGTATGACTGTTTCCATAAATTGTTTTTTTTTTTTTCCCCAAAAACATGCATCTGGCAGGATTTGGCCTGCAGGTTGTAGTCCTGCCTTCTGCCTTAATGGTTTACTACACTTGATTGTAGAGTCCAAACTGCTCAGGGTGGCATTCCAGTCCTTTCTATTCTGCTTCCCATCACCAATTGACAGTAGGCCACTGAGCCCCAGC